AATATGACAAGGGCTGGGGAGGTGGCTCAGGGGTTAAGCAGCCCTGGATTCAATCCCCAGCACCAAAAAAAAAGGTAAATCCGAGGCAGACCCTGTTCTTCGGGGCTCACCTCTGGATGGGGAGACAGATGTGTAAACAGGCGCCGATCATGTGATACTGTTAGTGCCGTTGCCGTGGTGACTGGTATTTCCAAGCCAAGCATCAGACCACGTGCCTGACAAGTTCACTTAGGTTTATTGTGGTGACGGCAGGACCGAGTGTTGACAATGTGGCCTGTCCCTGCAAAGCCAGGCCCTGGGTTGCCAGGATTGTAGTGGAGATGTGCTACAGGACCCTAGGGGACCCGGCAGTCAGCACTGCCCAGAGCTACAGGAATGTGTGGGCTTGGTGAGGCCCTGAGGGTGGGTGAGTTGCTGTGCAGAGGAGGCCAGGGCTTTGGGGGGGGGAGGAACCTGTAGTCACTGCAGCTCAGGAGGCTGAGGCAGGAGGATCACAAGGTGGAGGCCAGCCTCAGCCACTTAGCGAGGCCCTGAGCAACTCAGCGAGACCCCGTCTCTAAATAAAATGCAAAATAGGGTTGGGATAGGGCTCAGTGGTTAGCTCCCCTGGGTTCAATCCCCAGGACCAAGAAAAAAAAAAACTGGGAGGAGCTTGCCACCTCCTATTGTTCACTTGGTACCCTCCTGCCCCAGTGGACAGGAACTGGGCTGAGTTTCCTTGGAGGGCTCCTGATCCCCAAGTGTTTCCCCCTGGTGTCCAGAGACCTGTCCGTGTGGTGTTCGGTTGGCAGCAGGAAGAAGCCCTGGTGGAAGCTCTTTGGTAGGTGGCCAGTGTTATCTTCCTGGGAATGAAGACGAGAGTGCTGGAAGCCGGCAGCCTTTGTGAGCAACTGAGGCAGGATCTGTGGGCCACGTACTGAGGTCCTTTGTCACATCATGACTGGCCGCACTGAGGCCCCCTGTGCCTGGCCGCCTCTTACTACTGTGTCTGCCTGCCTGGCTGCCCATGTGCTGGTGTCATCAGCAAGTCCCTAGAGACCTGGTGTCTTATCATTGTTTTGTCCCTTAGTCTGTGGCTGGTGCTGACCTGCGCCTCAGCTCTGGAGAACAGACGCGCAGCTGCCCAGAGGAGGGGCCCAGCACCCACCCCCGGGTTGTTCTCTCCACATCCCAAGACGCCATGAAAAATAGCTCAGGAACTTGAATTTGGGTCATTGTGACCGTTTCAGTGTTTGTCCTGAGAACTCACTTGTCCAAGGTCCCTTTTTTGATTTAAAGACGCAGAGAACTTTCCACTCCCTGCCTCAGAGCTCAGGAGAGAGACTTCAGATAAATTCCTCTCTGTTTCCTTCTGGAGGGACAGAGGGGGGCTCTGGGCTTTTTGGGGGGGTCCTGGGTATTGAACTTGGGGCCCTGAGCCCCGTCCCCAGCCCTTTTTATATTTTATTTAGAGGCAGGGTCTCCCTGAGTTGCTCAGGGCCTCGCTAAGTGGCTGAGGCTGGCCTCCACCTTGCGATCCTCCTGCCTCGGCCTCCCCAGTGGCTGGGATGACAGGTGTGCCCGCCTCAGCATCTCAGCCAGACTCTGTCTCAACATAAAAAAATCGAAAGGGCTGGGGACGGGGCTCAGTGGTAAAGCACCCCTGGGTTCCATCCCTGGGACCATTAAAAAAAAATTGGCTTCTTATCACCTTCCCTGACCATCCAGGGCCAAGTACGGTGGCCTTTACCTTCTTCTGAGTGTCTGTTATCACCTTCCAGAAGTTTCCATTTGCATTCTTGCCCTTGCTAAAATGGGTGCTGTTTACACCTCATTCCCCTGCCTCAGTGCTTCTTCACTGCTGAGCCTCCTCCCCAGCCCTTTTTAATCTTTGAGACATTGCAGAGGCTGGCCTCAACCTTGCGATCCTCCTGCCTCAGCCTCCCGAGTTGCAGGGATTCCAGGTGTGTGCGCCACCGGGCCCGGGCACCTCAAATCGATTTATTTTTACATTATACATTAAAAACACTGGCCTCAAAATTACAGTGGCTCCATAAAGATTGTAGAATGGATGCATTTATCAGGCCCCTTTTGTATGCGAGCTCCAGCCATTTGATTGTGTTAGCTGTGACCCTAATGGTCCCTTTATTGACAGATGAAAAACTGAATTAGGTTGTGGCCCAGACACACAAAGCTTGTGACAGAATGGGGTCACGATCTCGGGCCTGTCGGGGTCCAGAGCAGCCACTGCCCATTTTGCTCTCATTTGCAGGGGGTGGTGAGGGTGAGAACCCCAGGTCCTGGATTCTCCAAATATCTCCTCTGTCCCTGCCCATGTCACAGCCACAGGGTGACCTAGATTCCCTGGTCTGTAGTTATTTGTTTGTTTATTTGTTTTGCATTTTTATTTTACCTTACTTTTAGTTTTCTTTTTAAATTAACTTGTATTTTTAAAACTGTGCTTGTTGATTTTCTGTTCATGTTTATATATTGTGTAATGATGAGATCCAGGTCATGGGCATAGGGACCACGTCACACATGTGTCATTTCTTTGTGTTGGAAACAATCCAAAGTCCTCTCTGGGAGTTGCTTTGAAATATTCAATTGAAGCCAGGGGCAGTGGCCCACAGCCTGTAATCTTAGCAGCTTGGGAGGCTGAGGCAGGAGGATCGCAAGGTGGAGGCCAGCCTCAGCCACCTAGCCAGGCCTCCAGCAACTCAGCGAGACCCTGTCTCTAAATAAAAAATAAAAAGGGCTGGGGACCGGGCTCAGGGGTTAAGTGTCTCTGCGTTCAATTCTGGATACCAAAAAATAAAAAGAGAGGAACCTCCCCAGTAGCTCAGAATATATAGGCCAAAGTCCTTCCTTGAGGGTCTCCAAGATCCATTTTTCTGCGTATTTCTGTGTCACTCTGTTGCTGTCCTTCTCTTTACTCTGATCCAAACAATTCTTTTTGCTTTCTTTGAATGTACCAGTCACGGTCTCTGCCCCAGGGGACACATTAGCCCATTTTCCGTTGCTATAACGAAGTGCCCGAGGCCAGATACCTTATAGAGCAAAAAGGTTCATGTGCCTCATGGTCTTCAGTATTGCGAAGCGTGACAGCAGCATCTGCTCAGCTTGACACCCCCTTGGCCACCTCATGTCATGCCAGATGGCATCACGGGAAGGTGGGGTGGGGGGAAGGCTTTTGAAGGGGAGAGATCACACAATGAGACAGGAGGCCCGAGCTGAGAAGTGTCCGGCTTCCTCTGACAATAGGAGTTACCTGGGTTCCCATCTAGGGGACACCCCTGTCACTCCCCTCCAAGGGCTCCATCACCTCGACCCCACCCCAGTAAGGACCAGATGCACCTCGTGAACCCTCCACATGCTCCAAATGACCGCAGGGCCTTGGGACTGCCTCCTTTCCAGAATGTTCTCTGGGCTCCCTCTCTGTCCAGTGGGTATGTCAGGGGGGCCATCCTGAGGTTCACTCCTCCCAGAATGCACAGCTCCTGTCTCTCCCAGAATGCACAGCTCCTGTCTCTGTCTCTGCTTGGTTTTTCTTATCACTCTCCAGTGGACTTGTATTATTATTATTGTTGTTGTTATTATTATTATTTCAGCACCAAGGATTGAACCCAGGGCTTCCAGACCATAAGGCACGTCCCCAGCCCTTTGCCCTTTTTATTTTTTTATTTAGAGACAGGGTCTCACTGAGTTGCTTAGGGGCTCCCTAAGTTGTGGAGGCTGGCCTCCAACTTGCAATCCTCCTCCCTCAGCCTCCCAAGTCACTGGGCTTATGGGCGTGCACCACCGCACATGGCTGTTTTAATTGTTTTGCAGTCAGGATCATCTTCTGTTAAGAGTGGACATCTTACTGGATGACCCCATCGGGGAGCTGGTCTTGGTGAACATGTCACGTCTACTTGAAAAAAGATGTGCCCTTGTGCAGGGTTGGATGTTTTGTTCTAGAAATGTCAAGACTGAGTCAAGAGTGTTGCTTAGACACTTGTCATCCTGCTATCCCCCCCATTGTGAATGAGCACCATCATTCACAATCAGAGAGGACACTCAGCCTTTGGTTTTGGGGGACTGGCTTATTTCACTCAGCGTGATCATCTCTAGCTCCGTCCATGTACCATGTACCATCAAATGCCGTCATTTCATTCTTCTTGATGGCTGTGTAATATTCCACTGTGTATATGGACCCCAGTTTCTTTATCCATTCATCTGTTGAAGGGCACCTGTCAATTTTTCTGAAAGGGGTGTCAAAATCTTCAACTACATTTTTGGACTTATTTTTCCCTTTATTTGCATACTTTTTTTTTTCTTTAAGAAATTTAAAACTGTCATTAGACTGTATGAGATGCGCACAGCTTGGTACCATTGTGTCTCTGATAAAAGACCCTTTTGTCATTATCTTTAGTTTGGTTGTGAGATTCGGTCTTGCTGTGCTGCCCAAGCTGGTCTCTAGCTCCTGGGCTGAAGAGATCCTCCTGACTCAGCCTCCCCAATATTAAATGTCATTTATTTCTTGTAGCTCTTTATTTGGAATGGCTCCTTGGCCTGAAATTATAGTATATCATTTACATACTTTCTCATGGATATTTTATATTTATGTATAATTCATGTCCTTTCTTCCTATTTGTATCCTTACAGCATATCTTGGTGGATGGCATATATTTATTTGGGTCTTGTCTTTTTTAATCTGATATCTGGCTTTTAACTCAATCATTTAGTGAATTTATGTTTCCTTATTTGTTCATTTATTGATCCTGGGGATTGAACTCCTGAGCCCCGTCCCCAGCCCTTTTGATGTGCTATTTAGAGACAGGGTCTCACTAAGTTGCTGAGGCTGGCCTCCAACTTGCGGTCCTCCTGCCTCAGCCTCCCGATCCTTTGGGATGACAGCAAGCGCTGCTCTCTGGGTTTCAGGTGGCTTGTCCCTGTGGATCTGCGGGGGGCTGGTTCTGTGGGTCCCCCTCCCTGTCCCTGTGCTCAGCAACCCCCCCATTCAGGCACCCTTCTCCCCACAGCTGCAGATCTGGGACACGGCCGGCCAGGAGCGCTTCCGCACCATCACCCAGAGCTACTACCGCAGCGCCAATGGCGCCATCCTGGCCTACGACATCACCAAGCGGAGCTCTTTCCTGTCTGTCCCTCACTGGATCGAGGACGTGCGGAAGTACGCAGGCGCCAACATCGTGCAGCTGCTGATCGGTGAGCGCGGGGCGGGGCGGGGCCTGGGGGCCACAGACCGTCTTTGCCCCGCCCCCTTTTCTAGTTCCCGGATTGAACCCAGGAGCCTTTACCGCCGAACCACCCCTCCTTCCTTCTGTTTTTAATTTTGAGACAGGGTCTTGCTCAGTGGCTTGGGGACTGACATCCCAGCAGCTCGGGAGGCTGAGGCAGGAGGATCACAAGGTGGAGGCCAGCCTCAGCAACTTAGGCCCTGAGCAACTCAGCGAGACCCTGTCTCTAAATAAAATATGAAAAGGGCTGGGGATGGGGCTCAGGGGTTAAGCACCCCTGGGACCAGAGAGAGAGAGAGAGAGAGGAGGTTTACCTTGGCTCCTAGTTCTAGAGGTCCAAGGCCAACGGGCTGTTTCTGCAGATGGCCTTGTTGCTGGCAGAGCCCCGTCACGGTCACGCGCAGCAGGCGACTTGCCTTATCTCTCTGGTTTTATGAATCAGGATTCCATCTCGGGGCTCCTCCCTGATGGCCATATCTACTCGCTGTGGCCACCCCTTGTGAACACTGCAATTGGATTGTTTCTACCCTGTGAGAACCTCACGGGTCATAAACCGCATCCTGAGTTGGTGTGAGGACAAACCATGTTCAAGTCATAGGACCCGTCAGGCCCAGTGTCCACGCCTGTAGTCCCAGTGACTCAGGAGGCTGAGGCGAGAGGATTGCAAGTTGGAGGCCAGCCTCTACATTTTACCAAGACCCTGTCTTAAAACGACTGAACAAGGGCCTGGGGTTAGCTCAGGTGCAGAATTTCCCTGAATTCCATCCCCTGCACCATCCATCACCCATCAATCAGCTTAAATCAGGTGGCCAGGTACAGTGGCCTCTGTTGCCTCAGGAGGCCAAGGCAGGAGGATCACTTGAGGCTACATGGTGAGGCCCTGTCTTTCAAATAAGGTGTTTTGGAATTATCTGGAAGGTTCCAGAATGATCTGGACGGTTCTGGAATGATCTAGCAGGTTCCAGAATGATCTAGAAGGTTCCAGAATGATGTGGAAGAACCTAGGGTGCCAGCCACCTCCCTGGAGGGCAGCCACCCTTTGAGGGTTAACGAGGCCCTAAGCGACTTAGCAAACCCCACCTCACAATAAAAATAAATATATGAATAGGTACGGAAAGGGCCATGTCCTAGCTTGGTGGCCCAGTGCCACCAAAAAAAGGTTAGAATTAAAAAGGCCGTTTTAAGAAAGATTGTTGACTGACTGACTCCACAGGACAGCTCAGGGGGAAGGGTTTACTGAGGCTCCTCGATTTAGAGGCCGTGTCTGTGGTCCCTGACCCCAAGGCTCTGGGCCTGGGTGAGGTGGGTGACAAGGACGGCCCTGCTCAGGTGGCCTTGGGCCCGCTCACTGCCCCACGTCTCCCCCCAGGGAACAAGGCGGACCTGGCTGAGCTCCGGGAGGTGCCGCTGGCCGAGGCCCAGAGCCTGGCCCGGCACTACGACATCCTGTGCGCCATCGAGACCTCGGCCAAGGACTCGCGCAACGTGGAGGAGGCCTTCCTCAGGGTGGCCACGGAGCTCATCATGCGGCACGGTGGCCCCTTGTTCAGCGAGAAGAGCAGCGACCACATCCAACTGGACAGCAAGGACGTGGCCGAGGGCTGGGGCTGTGGCTGCTGACCGGCCTCCGTCCCCCTCCGCCCCCCTGGCACCTTCCAGAGCTGGGGGAGCCGCGGGGGCCACCCTGTGACCCGCCACCCTGTGATCCGGCAGGAGCAGGAGCCCAGGGCAGGTGGGAGCCCGTCCTTCACATGCCAAGACTGGCCTGAGCCCCGCAGGGCCACCACAGTGGGAAAGGGGCCGAGGTCCAACCTGTGACCACCTTCTGCCCAGCAGATGGCTGCCCCCCTAGCTTCTTCTAGATCATCCCAGAACCTTCCAGATCATTCTGGAACCTTCCAGATCATTCCGGAAATTTCTAGATCATTCCGGAACCTTCCAAATCCCTCTGGAGCCTCTGTCTGGAGCCCAGAGAGCAAGATGACCTGGGCAGCCAACTGGACTCATCCCTCGGGCTGCCCTTCCTCCTGCACTGCCAGCCCCAGGCCCCACACCCCGGGCCTGGCTCCTGCCTTATCAGGACCTCGGGTTTTTCTGGTTTTCCATGGAGCTTGTCAGGTGGCCCAAGAGTGGGGTCGTGGCCCGTGGCCAGCTGGGCACTGTGCGTTGGCTTGGGGCCCAGGGACTGGCCACTCAGGTCACACCGTAGCTGATCCCTGAGTGCTGGCTCAGAAGTCTGGCCAGTAGGGGACGAGGCAGGGACAGGCCTCAGAGGCCAGGGAAGCTCAGGAGGCCCTGGGTCCCTCCTCAGTGCCAGGACAGACGGAGGACTCCTCAAGACGGTCGGGGGGACCTGGAGGCCCCAGCCTGTCATCCCAGCAGCTTGGGAGGCTGAGGCAGGAGGATCACAAGTTGGAGGCCAGCCTCAGCCACTCAGGAAGACCCTGACGCTAAATAAAATCTAAAAAGGGCTGGGGACGGGGCTCCGTGGTGAGGCACCCCTGGGTTCCATCCCTGGGACCAAAAAAAAAAAAAATTTACCCTCCACCTGTGCTGGGTGCTGGGGCCTCTTGGAAAATAGCATCAGGGACCCTGAGGGGTCTCAGTGACTGACTGAGGGGACCTGGGACCCAGTGTCAGCTCCTTGTGCACCGACACCCCTTCCCCCACCACATAAATCCGCTGCCTCTTCAGCTGAGGCCACTTCCCTGCGGTTCCTCCCAGGCTGGGCCGCCTCAGCCCCAACGTAGGGACAGCAGGAAGTGGGCGGAGCCAGAGGGGCCGGGAGCTGAAGAAGAGTCCTCAGGTCTGGGTGGACCACTGGTATTTTCTACTCCAAAGCAGGAGGTGGGGCCCCTGTCGCCCTGGCCTGTGGTCTGCATTGGCCCCATTCCCAGGTTAGGGGGCCAGGTGCAGGTGTCCTGGGGCCTCGTGGCCCGGTTTCCGGCTCCAGCGCAGGGGTGGCCTGTGGTTCTAGAAGGGGGGAGGGGCTGGGCCAGGGCCACATGGAGGGTGTCATGGCAGAGCTCAGGTACTACCTGAGGGCAGGTAGTGCCCATCCCTGAGGGTGTCTTTCTGCCTCAGAGGTCCCTAGATGCATCTGGGACCCGGTGTGCCAGGAATAGTATGTAGCCAAGATGTGGTGGCCCGCCTGTCACCCCAGCTGTTCAGGAGGCTGAGGCAGGAGGATGGCAAGGTGGAGGCCAGCCTCAGCCACTCAGGTCCTGAGCAGCTCAGCGAGGCCCTGTCTCTAAATGAAACACGAAACAGGGCTGGGGACGGGGGCTCCGTGGTCCAGGGCCCCTGGGTTCAGTCCCTGGTGCCAAAAAAAGAAAGAAAAAAATGCTACTAATGACCCAGCAGGACACATGTCACCAGGGCCCTGCCCCAGGACCCTCTGGCCAGAGCCATTTCCCACAGCGAAGGCCGCATGCTGCAGGCCCTTCTGGGTCCCACCAGGAGGGGCCTCGCTGTCCCTGGGGGTTGGGCCTCTGTCCAGTGGAGACCTGGGCTTGGGTACAGGAGGGTGGGGACTGTGTGACACAAAACCTGCCGTGTCCTTCCGGGCAGCCTGGTGGCCTCCCAGGGGCCCAGGGCCTGGGGGCACTTTAATCTCTTTGTTTATAAAGTGCCCAACCCCAGGAGCAGGTGGGGCCGGGACAGCAGGAAGGGGGCGGAGCCAGAGGGGCCCGGGCAGAAGAAGAGTCCGCGGGTCTGGGTGGACCCCTGGGATTTTCTACTCCAAAGCAGGAGTGGAGCTGGGGACCCTCCCAGAGATGCCAGAGAGGTTTTCTTTCTCCTTCCAGGAGGGGACCGGTCCCCAGGACCCGGCCCCTGGGTGGGGCAAGGAGAAAGCTCCCGATTCATATTGAATTCAGTTTCTCTCTCCAGCGGGACCCGCCCACCCTCAGGGCCGGGACAGGGCGGGTGGCAGGGGCCCAGCCAGACCCCGGGGGTGGGTGTCATTTGCATTTGGGGATTTTTTCACGTCACCTATTTATGAATATTAAAACGTCTTTATATCAGATCTATTTTTGAAAACTTGGAGAAGTGGCCTCTTTGGGACCCTCAGAGCCAGAGTGCGAATCCTGATCCATTAAACCGATTCTGAAACCCGCCATCTGTGTCTCTCCTCTGTGAGCCCCAGGCCTCTCCTGCACCCCCTTTGGTGACAGGGAGTCAGAGACTACAGGACAAAAGAGGCCTGGGGTTGGGTCCTGTCTCGGGGAATGCTGTGTGGCCTGGGGGAACTCACTGCCCCTCTCTGGGCTGTAGGTTCCCCAGGGGGGAACGGTATCCTGAGGGCTCTTTGGTGACTCTTTCTGCTTCGTGGTGGCAGGCACACAGTGGGTCCTCGGGATGCCTTTGTGCCTCAGTCGGGTACCCGGATGAGAAGCCTGGGTGCCCACAGTCCACCTGTGTGACCTAGATCTGTCTCTGGTCACTGCTGAGATGGAGGCTTTCCTGCTTTTGTGGCCTCCCGAGGGAAACGGGGACAGACGTATGAGATGAGGGTCAGACCAGCCTCCGACGAATCCCAGGTCCAACCAGGTGTGGTGGCCCATAGCATGTCATCCCAGGGGCTTGGGAGGCTGAGGCAGGAGGATCGCAAGTTGGAGGCCAGCCTCAGCAAAAGCAAGGCCCTGAGCAACTCAGGGAGACCCTGTCTCTAAATAAAATAGAAAAAGGGCTGGGGACGGGGCTCAAGGGTCAAGTGCCCCTGGGTTCAGTCCCTGGTGCCACAATGACATGAAATGGGATGCAGAGTCCCTCTCAGCTGTCCTGTGGGTGGCTTCTCTTGGGGACCTAAATAGGGACACCCCTGTGTTTCCCAGAATATCTGCACACGGGGGTCTGTCCCTACACTCCAAGGTGCTCACAGAAAAAGTGTCACTTGGGAGAGAGAGCCTGTCCTTTGGGCCCCTGTGTTAACTTGCCAAGTTGTGTCCTTAAGGTCTTGGCCTTGAAAAAATGTTACTTATGACAATTTTGGTCACAATGCTGCTATTTTTTTTTTTTTTTTTGGGAATTGAACCCTGGAGCCCTTCACCATGGAGCCCTGTCCCCAGCCCTTTTTATTTTATTTTTTTTAAATTTTTTGAGATAGGGTCTCACTAAGTGGTTGAGGCTGGCCTCCACCTTGCGATCCTCCTGCCTCGGCCTCCCGAGCTGCTGGAATGGCCGACGTGGACCCACGGCGCTCAGTATCGGAGCCTGAGTTTCTAGAAGAATCCAGACTCAGGTGACCAGAAGGCAAAGCAAGTCTCTGAACTCGACAGAAAAGAGCCCAGCAGCGAGTTTATTGTGGGGTGATGAGGCCTCCCGGCCTCCCGGCCTCCCGGCCTCCTGGCCTCCTGGCCTCCCGGTCTGCAGGGGACTTTAGGGCCAGGGCTCCGTGGAGACGCACAGCAGCCGAGCCAGGAGCACCAGGCCCAGGATGGCCACAGCCCCCAGGGCCACGTCCCACCAGACCCCGGGGTAGACCCAGGTGTCCTGGACGTGCCAACCACAGCTGCCCAGTTGGAAGCCGGTCAGGTGGCCCAGGGGACGGCCGGTGGCCAGGTCCGGGCTGGCGCAGCGCAGGTCCTCCAGGGCCTCGGGCAGGCGGTCCTCCAGCCAGAGGCGCAGGTAGGTGAGGTGGCAGTCGCAGTGCCAGGGGTTGCCGGCCACCTCCAGGGTCTGCAGCTGCGGCAGGTGGTCCAGGGCCCCTGGGGACACTGACCTCAGGCTGTTGTTGGACAGCAGCAGGTGGCGGGTGCGGGCGGGCAGGGCGGGCAGTGTCCCCAGGCCCCGGGCCTGGCAGTCCACGACCAGCCCCATGGATGGCAGGCTGCGGCAGGTGCAGGGCACAGGGCAGTCGGGGGTGGCCTCGGCCAGGGCCCAGCACAGGACAAGGACGCCCCAGGCAGCCATCAGAGCAGGCGGGCTCTGTGGGCACAGGGGACCCGCTCAGGACGGCCTGGTCACCCACACCCAGGACCAGGGCCCCCACTGTCCTCCCTGGGCCTCGACTTTCCCCTCTGTGAAGTGGGTGACAGCGGGCGGCCAGCTCGGGGCCTTCCTTGGGGACCCTCCCTGATAATCAGAAGGCAGGACAGACGGGGGACCCTGTCCTGCTGTGGCTGTGAGTGTCCCCGTGGAGCACCAGGGATGGAACCCAGGGGCACTGAACCCCGGAGCCCTGTCCCCAGCCCTTTTTATATTTTATTGAGGGACAGGATCTCCCTGAGTGCCTTAGGGCTGAGGCTGGCCTCCACCTTGCGATCCTCCTGCCTCAGCCTCCCCAGCTCCGAGATGGCAGGCGTGCACCCCCCCTGCCCGGCTCCGTTCCATTTTCTGAAGCTCCACTTGTCCCTCCATGGCCCAGGTCCCCAGCAGCCTGGGAGGAGGGACAGGGACAGCCTTCTGTCTCCCTCCCGGCCCAGCAAGGACAGGCAGGGTGACAAGGGAACACTCACCTGTGGGCTTCGGTCGGGGCCCCCTCTGTGGCCTGTGCTGTCCTGGCGGAGGCTGTGGTAACAAAGCCCGGGGAGGAGGGGACAGTGGCTGCTGTTTGAGTGACAGGAAGGGAAGGATGGAAATAGCCCGGCTTATCTCTCACCACCAGAGGAGGTGGCCCCAGGACCTTAGGCCTGTGCCCGGGGACGGAAGGGAACCCCAGGGGACTGACCACCAGGACCTCAGGGGCTGGGCCTGCCCCAGAGAGAGACGGCCCCCCACTGGGCCCAGGAGGAGGGGAGGCCTCCTGGAGGAGGTGGCCCCTGGGATGAGAGACTCCGGGTTGTTCCCGTGACTCAGTTTTCCTCATCCGCGAAACGGAGCCACACCCCCCACCTGTCCCTGTCCCTGGCCGGCTCCGTCTTCCAGGTGCTCGGCCCCGGAGGCTCCCACTGGCCGAGGATTTTGAGGTCATTGAGGAGGTTACGGCTCTTTGTTTCAATAAAACGAGGCTGGCCTCCGATTTGCGATCCTCCTGCCTCAGCCTCCTAAGCCATCGTAGAACTTTTGTCTCCTGTAACTGAAAGGATCAAGCAGGGTCCCTACTTGTGAGGCGAGACGCCAGCGTGTCCCTGTGCACCTCAGCACGGGTGCTTTGACCTCTCACCCCTCCTTGTCCCCCTGGGGCGCTCAGGAACCAATTGGCTCTGGTCAGAAATGAAGAGTGTCCTTGTCCTATCTGTGACCAACTGTCATGTCTCTTTCCTTGTATGGCAGGGACCCTGGGTCTCTGGTTAAGTGACAGCAAGTTGACTTCGCTTCTGAAAAATACCTCCAGATGATTTAGACTGGGCCTGTCCTCCCAGAGGCTCAGGAGGCTGAGGCAGGAGGATCCCAGGGTGGAGGCTAGCTTCCGCCAAAGCGAGGCCCTGAGCCACTCAGTGAGACCCTGTCTCTAAATAAAATAGAAAAAAGGGCTGGGGACGGGGCTCCGGGGTTCAGTGACCCTGGGTTCCATCCCTGGGACCCCCCCCCCAAAAAAAAAAAAACCCAGAAAAATCCTCCATAATTTTAAAAGGGAACTCAAAAGTATTAGGTAGGGATCTGAGATCACAGGCGACTTCCAGGGGCCTGGGGACATTGTAATGCGTTACACTGGAGCTCCCTGACCCCCACTGCGCCTGATCCCGGGCTGGCAGGTCACTGGAAGTCCCCTGTCCCTTCTTCCATCCGGGGAACGCGCTCTCCCCCTGGTGGCCAGAGTGTGGAACTACAGGGTACTTTTCGTTGTTCCTGGGGCCGTGGAAGGTCAAGTGCATGTTTTTGCCAGAAGGTGACAGAGAGGGACATTCGTTAGAACTTCCCAGAAAACATTTTGTTTTAATGAGTTGCAGACCCTTTGAGTAATCCCACGGGAGCCCTTCTAGAAAGAGGCCAAAGTCAGGTGCAGTGCCCCATGCCTGTCATCCCAGAGGCTCGGGAGGCTGAGGCACGAGGATCGCAAGGTGGAGGCCAGCCTCAGCCAAACTGAGGCCCTGAGCAGCTCAGCGAGACCCTGTCTCTAAATAAAATAGAAAAAGGGCTGGGGACGGGGCTCAGGGGTCAAGTGGCTGAGGCTGGCCTCCACCTTGCGATCCTCGTGCCTCAGCCTCCCGAGCTGCTGGGATGAGCGGCGTGCACCACTGTGCCCGGCCCCCCACTTAGGACCTCACTACGATCATCCCCAACGTCATTGCTGTTGATATTTTGGGACACTCTTGTCTCTTACACCAAAGAAAAAATGAGTAAAAATCAAGGTTTTTTATTTTACTGTGTCTTACTCAATCTTTTCTCATGATTTTCTTTTCTTTATGTGGACGCTGGGGGGGGGGGGGATTTACTATCCAGATACCTTCCTCTTGGCTTCTTAGTTACGGAAGTTTCTGGAAACATGTCCACCATGGCTCCTTGACTAGAATGTGTCAGAGACAGTCTCCATTTCTAATATTATTATTATTTTTATTATTATTTTATTTCTAATATTTCTCCCCCTCCTCAGCTCAGGAGGCTGAGGCAGGAGGATCACAAGGTGGAGGCCAGCCTCAGCCACTTAGCCAGGCCCTGGGGGTTGAACTCAGGGGCCCTCCACCCCTGAGCCCTGTCCCCAGCCCTTTTTCTATTTTATTTAGAGACAGGGTCTCGCCGAGTTGCTCAGGGCCTCGCTTTGGCTGAGGCTGGCCTCCACCTTGCCATCCTCCTGCCTCAGCCTCCCGAGTCACTGGGAGGACAGGTGGGTGCCACCGGGCCCAGCTCTGCAGGGCTTCACTGTGGACTGTGGTGTCAGGGACTGTGAAGGGAGGTGGGGGAAGGCCCAAGGAAGGGGTGGCCTTCAGGGCCTCCTGAGTGCTGACGATGTGACCGTGGTGAGGCTGGTCGTGGAGGCTGGATGGATGTGGTGAGGCCGGTCGTGGAGGCCGGGTGGATGGCGGTCAGGATGACCAGTGGTGCCCACCGGCTGTGTCCGTGACCTCAGCAGGAGAGGACAAGGGGGTTGGCGAGAGCGGGGTTTGGAGAGGCCTGTCCTGGGGGTGGCCTCTGCAGGAGCTCACAGCCAGCCAGGGCTCGGTGCAGGGCGTCCAGCATAGCCGAGGGCCCAGGTGTGCCTTCTGGACAGAGAGAAGAGACAGGGGAGTGGGGACACGCTGGTCCCCGTGACCCCTGAGCCCCGTCCCCAGCCCTTTTTCTATTTTATTTAGAGACAGGGTCTCGCTGAGCTGCTCAGGACCTCAGTTTGGCTGAGGCTGGCCTCCACCTTGCCATCCTCCTGCCTCAGCCTCCTGAGCCGCTGGGATGATGGCCACTGTGCCCCCGTGATATTTTGAACTCTCTAAAGCCCGTTCCTGACTCCCAGGTGGATGAGGGACCACGGTGTGAGCCTTTGTTCGCTGCCAGGGCTCAGGTCTGTCCAGTGTCCTGAATGGTCCCCAGCACCCAGGGGGGAGACCAGGAAACGTGGGCCAGAAGCCCCCCTCTCTGCAGGGGTGTTCAGGACAGGAATCATGTCACCACTGTGCAGACAGAACACTCAGGAAAGCCGGGGACTGTGGCCCACGCCTGTCCTCCCAGCAGCTCGGGAGGCTGAGGCAGGAGGATGGCAAGGTGGAGGCCAGCCTCAGCCAAACTGAGGTCCTGAGCAGCTCAGGGAGACCCTGTCTCTAAATAAAATAGAAAAAGGGGCTGGGGACGGGGTTCAGGGGTGAAGCACCCCTGGGTTCCATCCCTGGGACCCAAACACAACAGGACATGGAGGACAGGAAGTGCTGTTCGACGTCTGCCCAGTCGCTCTCCTACCCTGTGCTGGGTTCCTCCAGGCGTCCAGGGTGCTCAGCAGGATCTGCCCCAGGGCTCTTTTCGAGACATTCTTCAAAAGAAACGGAAACAGGAGTGGATCAGACCACGGGTGGTGGGTCGTCCCTCAGCAGGTGAGTTTCTATGCAGCAACCTGGGGATGGATAAAGTGTCCCCACCCATGGGCTGGCCACACTGGGCTCCTCATAGACCCTTGGTGGGGGGAATGGAGCCTCGAGCAGGTGCCATTGCCTCAGAGATCATGTGTGCGGTGGCACACGCCTGTCATCCCAGCACTGGGGAGGCTGAGGCAGGAGGATCGCAAGGTGGAGGCCAGCCTCAGCCACTTAGCAAGGCCCTGAGCCACTCAGCGAGACCCTGTCTCTAAATAAAATGCAAAACAGGGCTGGGGACGGGGCTCAGGGGTTGAGTGACCCCGGGTTCCACGCACAGTACTGTCCCCAAATGGGGTGACAGCCTCCAGCCTGAGTGGAGGCCACATGCCGCTGCCGACACGACCCTGTCCCCTCTGCCGTGGGCCCACCAGGTCGAGGAGCCTCTGCAGGAGCTGCAGGACGTCGGCCAGCTTCTCCTCCAGCAGCGACAGCCGCACCCGCTCCGTCTCCACCATTTGCAGCTCTAGCCTCAGGCGTTCGTCCTCCGCCCCCTTCTGGGACTCTACCTGCGGGGACAGCGTTCACCCGGATGTCTCACCCCATCCTCGGAGCACCCCACAGGGTCACTGTCCTGCCTGAGCCTTCTCCAGAGGTCATCATGTCCAGCTGCCTCCTGCCCACCGGGCAGATGAACCCCCCAGACTCCCTTAGTTTGGCAGTGAGGCCCAGAGGAGTCAAGTGCCTGGCCCAAAGTTGCACAGCACACGTGGAACCTGATCTAAGAACTTGTGCATCTTATGTCCCAGTCGGAGGACTCCACTGTCCCTTCTGTCTCTCGGTCTGGTTTCTTCTTTTTTGAAAAGACATTTGTACAGGTGTCAGGCAAAGAAGTCCATCTGGGAGCAGGGCCCGGTGGCCTGTCCTCCCAGCAGCTTGGGAGGCTGAGGCAGGAGGATCCCAAGGTGGAGGCCAGCCTCAGCCACTCAAGCCCTGAGCCCCGTCCCCAGCCCTTTTTCTATTTTATTCAAAGACAGGGTCTCGCTGAGTTGCTCAGGGCCTTGCTATAAGTGGCTGAGGCTGGCCTCCACCTTGCGATCCTCCTGCCTCAGCCTCCCAAATTGCTGGGGTGACAGGCGCGGGCCATTGAGCCTGGCTTTGACATGGGACCTTTTCCGTCACACCCAACAAATCTCAATGGAAGGAAATGGCCTCTCCTTTCTGAGTCCTGGTTTTCTCACCCGTGAGCGGGCACAGGGCCCTGGTCCTTCTCGCCATGAGAGACTCTAGGACTGTCCCCCCCCCCACTGTCCCGGGGCCCTGCTGACCTCCTCCACGGGTGTCCCCAGGGCCTTCCCACCGAAGCCCTGGGCCTGCAGCTGCCCCACCAGCCTCTCGATGTGGGCCTCCAGCTCCCCCAGGCTGCAGGCGTGGTCCGTGCCCCCAAAGTGGCCCGAGGAGGTTTGGCAGGTCCTCGATGTCCGCTCGTCCCACCTGCTCAACAGGGGAGCAACGTTGTCCCTGAGCAAAGTCACCTTCTGGGCCTCTGTGCCAATCCAAGGAACCCCCAAAGGCCCCCTGTGACCTCCCCGACTCCTCCCCACCCCCCTGCACCAGCCACAGCACCCTGCTCCCCGCCCCACCCACCCACCAACCCCAGGGCCTTTGCACTTGCGGTTGCCACTTCCCAATGCCCTTCCCTCATCGCCTCCGTGGGCGACTGCCTCATTCCGTTCAGTGCTTTGCTCAAATAGCCCCAGCGTCCCCTGTCCCCCCGTCCCCTGCTTTCTCTCTTTCTGTGACAGTCCCTAAAACAAGTCCAGGACAGGAGAACAACCATCTTGCTGCTTCCTAATTTCCAGATGCCTCAAGTTTTGCACTGTCCCAGGGACAGAACCCAGGGACACTCCATCCCTGAGCCCTGTCCCCAGCCCTTTTTTCTATTTTATTTAGAGACAGGGTCTCGCTGAGTGGCTCAGGGCCTTGCTCAGTGGCTGAGGCTGGCCTCCACCTTGCGATCCTCCTGCCTCAGCCTCCTGAGCCCCTGGGATGACAGGTGGCTCCTATCGTCAGCTCCTTAGGTTCGAGCTGTCACTTGGCCCTGCTGACTTCTTCCACGGGTGTCCCCAGGGCCTTCCCACTGAAGGTGGGTCCCTTGCCCTCCGCGGGCTCTGGGCTTCCTGGACCACCCCTGACAGTCCCACCTGGTATCCCCCCACAACGTACCCGCCCTGACAGCCGGAGGGCCACTCGGCCCGGGCCTCTGGTGGCCTCTTCTGCCTCCGCCACGTCTCCTCCTCTTCCTCCTCCTCATCAGAGGCCGCCTGGCCCTCCACGGAGCGGAACAGGTGTTCATCCACTGTGGGTGGCAGGGGGACACAAGATTCAGGGACGTGGGACCCCGGTGGGTGGGGACCAGCGAGCCCTGTGGCCCCCTCAGTCAGGGGAGGCTGAGACCATCCCTCGGGAGCTGGGCCGGGCTCCGCAGAGTCTGGGACTGATAAATGGTTGAGGCCGGCCTCCAACTTTCAATCCTCCTGCCTCAGCCTCCCGACCCCCTGGGATGACATCTGTGCACCACGGCGCCTGGCCACCCACTTATTCTTAAGGTCAAGATTTTTATGGTGAGGGGCTTCGGGAAAAGGGGTCCCTCGGAGCTCAGGAAGTCCCCAGCCTGAGCAGTTGGGCGGGTGCAGCGGGATGGTCACCGACATTGAGAGTCCTGTGTCCTGAGAGCCAGACTGGGCACAGGGGACGGACCTTCATCCAGGGTTCTGCTGTCTGACTGCCAGCCTTGCTCTGGAGCGGTGGCCGTGACTCTGGTCCCAGTCTCCTCAGGGCCACCCCTCTTGACTCCTGGCTCTGGGCTACCTTGAGGGGGCGTTGACAGCTGGGGACCCTGTGACCTGCGGGCAGGAGGAGAGACCCAGGTACTGAGAAGGAGGAGAGGCTGGCAGGAGGGTCCAGCCTCTGCTACTCCTTGGGAGTCAGCCTCCCGCGGGCCACAACTGAGCCACATCCGTGGAGAAGACGGATGTCACTCATTTGCTAAGTGGCTGAGGCTGGCCTCCAACCTGTGATCCTCCTCCCTCAGCCTCCCAAACTGCTGAGAGGACAGGCCGAGCCCGTGAAGCTTATCTCTCTATATTTTAAATCCATAAATGACATTATTCCCCGGTTCGAGCCGCAGGGCAGGCAGCCCGGAGATGGCCCTGGGCACCGCAGGGAGGTCACAGTGACCATTCCGGACCAGCTGCAGGAAGGTCCAGGATTCAGGCTCCACAGGGGACACAAGACCCATTCAAGGGCACTTGAATGGCCCTCTGAGCCCAAGAGAGAGAGGGATCTGTGGAGCAGCACGCGTGACACTGGAGGGACATGGGCCTGGGGGGCGCCCAAGCAAGTGACCAGGGCGAGACGTGGACCTGGGGGGCGTAGGTCGGTTCTGCAGGCAGCAGAGACCGGAGGGAGGCGTGGCATGTGGCTCCTCCCACATAATCAGCATAACCCAGCCCTGGCCACTGTGATTGGCTCATGGCTGCGCGGGCTAGCCAATGAGACACGAGGGGCTGTCTGAAGAGGTTGGAGGGGGCGGAGCAGAACCTCTCCCTCCTGCAATTCCCTTTGCCGCCGCTGGGTGGCTCAGGGAGCCGCGGAGAGGACCAGGTCTGGAACTGTGACCACCCTCTGCGACTCAGAGGGGACCTTCTGGACGGGCCCTGGGGCTTGGGACAGACCCTAAAAATGACAGCAATACCAACAGGGTCCTTAATAAAGTCAGGAGTTGCTGGGTCAAGCTTTGTTCCTAAAGCCAGGGGGTAATCCTAAATTTTTGGTGACTCTGTTCCTAAATTTTTTTGGGAAAAGTGGGTGGGAATCCACCCGCGGAGGAGGCAGAACCGCGGTGTGGCCCCAGCTGGAATATTATTCGGTTTGGAAAAAGAAGGAAGTTCTCAGCTGGGTGCCATGGGGCACGCCTGACATCCCAGCAGCTCCGGAGGCTGAGGCAGGAGGATCGAGAGTTGGAGGCCAGCCTCAGCAAGTTAGTGAGGCCCTGAGCAACTCAGTGAGACCCTGTCTCTAAATAAAATGCAAAATAGGGCTGGGGACAGGGGTCCCTGGTTAAGCGCCCCTGGGTTTCATCCCTGGTACCAAAAAAATAAAATGAGATACAACACACACACACACACACACTCACTCACCTGAGTGCCACCTAACATCACCCCGCCCCCCATTTGCAAAGGCAATATTTAAAAGGTCCTTGTCCTTCCACTTCCTAGGACCTCCCCCAGGTCCCCCTTCCCAGAGTCCCATTGCTGCTTACTGATGAATGGAAGGGGAAAATAGACAGAGGTAGCTCAGAGATGGTGAGAGAGTTGTGGAGGTCACACAGCAATTCTCCTGGGAAGCCAAACCCAGTGCTGGTGGCTCCAGGACCCCGTGGCTTGGCAGCAGAAAACGGAGGGAGGGGTGTGTCCGATGGCACTCTGGGACGCGGGAGGGGGTGGGGGGAGAGCAACATCTGGCCCTTGTCAGATTATGTAAGCTGCTGGGCTGGGAGCCACTGTGGCCGTCAGACTCCAGCAGGAGGAAGACCTCAGAGGCTCTCCCCCGGGGGCATCTGCTGCGAGGCGAGGCAGGCAGATGTGGCCAGCTGCAGGGAACGCCCAGCCGCACCAGGACTCCATGTGAGGGCAGGGGGACCCGCCACCAGGGCCCGCCTTTCCCCAGAACGACCCAGAGCCCAGAGGGTGGCCGGCGTCGCTCTGGCCACCTCCAGCTCACCCCTGAGCCCCGTCCCCAGTCTCTTATTTTTTTACTTTGAGACAGGGTCTCGCTGAGTTGCTGACGGCCCTGCTAAGTGGCTGAGGCTGGCCTCCAACTTGCGATCCTCCTGCCTGAGCCTCCTGAGCTGCTGGGATGACAGGTGTGCGCCATCCCACCCAGCTGGGAGGTGGAGCCTAGCGGGAGGTGGAGCCTAGCAGGAGGAGGAGCCTAGCTGGAGGTGCAGCCTAGCAGGAGGAGGAGCCTAGCGGGAGGTGGAGCCTAGTGGGAGGTGGAGCCTAGAAGGAGGTGGAGCCTAGCAGAAGGTGGGAGCCTACCAGGAGGTGGAGCCTAGCAGGAGGAGGAGCCTAGCAGGAGGTGGAACCTAGGGGGAAGTGGAGCCCAGCGGGAGGTGGAGCCTAGCAGGAGGAGGAGCCTAGCTGGAGGTGCAGCCTAGCAGGAGGAGGAGCGTAGTGGGAGGTGGAACCTAGCAGGAGGTGGAGCCTAGTGGGAGGTGGAGCCTAGCGGGAGGTGGAGCCTAGCAGGAGGAGGAGCCTAGCTGGAGGTGCAGCCTAGCAGGAGGAGGAGCCTAGCGGGAGGTGGAGCCTAGTGGGAGGTGGAGCCTAGAAGGAGGTGGAGCCTAGCGGGAGGTGGAGCCTAGTGGGAGGTGGAGCCTAGCAGGAGGAGGAGCCTAGTGGGAGGTGGAGCCTAGAGGGAGGTGGAGCCTAGCAGAAGGTGGGAGCCTAGCGGGAGGTGGAGCCTAGCAGGAGGAGGAGCCTAGCAGGAGGTGGAGCCTAGCAGAAGGTGGGAGCCTAGCAGGAGGTGGAGCCTAGCGGGAGGTGGAGCCTAGCAGGAGGCAGTTAGGTGATTGGGGCGGGGCCCAGAGGGAATCCTTGAACCCCAGCTTTTTCCTCTCTCCTCTCTGCTTCCTGGCCCTGAGGGATGGCCAGTTTGGCTCTGCCCTGGGCTCCTGCCAGCAGGGACTGGGACGTCCTAAACAGGTCCCAAGAGTAAACCTCTCTTTCCCTCGAGGTGCTGGGGGACCCAAACCAGGCCCTCATGCATTCTAAATACACACCCTTCCACCGAGTGGCACTCTTAGCCCCAACCTTTTCTCTTTATAAGTTAATGATCTCAGGGGTTTTGTTATAGCAGCCGAAAGCTGACTAATACAGGTGGATTTTTTTTTTTTTTGGTACTGGGCATTGAACCCAGGGGCACCCGACCCCTGAGCCCCGTCCCCAGCCCTATTTTGTATTTTATTTAGAGACAGGGTCTCCCTGAGTCGCTCACGGCCTCGCTAACTTGCCAAGGCTGGCCTCCAACTTTCGATCCTCCTTCCTCGGCCTCCCAAGCCGCTGGGATGACAGGGGAGGGCCACCATGCCCGGCTCTCATTTGAGATCATAATCAATATCTCTGTGTGGGAGCCATTCTGAGTTGGGGTTGGTGTTATTGACAGTGTAAACACAAAGAACTGAATCCGGCCTCTCCCTGAATGAACTTGGGGGGTAGATTCTTCCCCAGAGCCTCCAGATGTGGCTAAGGACTCTTTGATTTTGGCCTTGTGAGAGCCCAAGCCGAGGACCCAGCCAAGCCTGCCCGGACTTGTGGCCTCCACAGCTGTGAGGTCATGGATCGGGGTCATTTCAAGACACTTCATTTCTGGGTGTTTGTTGTGGTTGTGATAGAAACCAAATAGAACCACCCAGACAGTCCCACCCCATCTGTGTGGTCAGCAGGACGTGGATGATTATCCCCCCTGGCAGTGACCAGCCATGGGGTTCCAGGAAGGAGAGGGGCGGGGCCTGAAGTCATGGTGATGAGCCTTTCCCTTTGCCAAGGATCCGGTTTAGAAACAGGTAGAAAGAGTCTTTTTTTCTCTGTCTCTGGATATGGCAGTGATGGCTGGGGCCATGGCAGCTATTTTGTGACTATGCAGGGGGTGGACCATCTGGACAGGCGTTCAATGAGGTTGCACAGATCAAGTGCTTGGCTCAGTACCTCAGGCCCAGCAGGTGCTTAGAAATCCATGGCCTGTGTTTCTGGGTCAGTGCTGCCCCCTCCTGCCTCTGAAGCAGGATATCCATTTAGAACCATGCCTAGCTCTGGGTGGAGGCTGTATTATTTATTTTGGGGGGTACAAAGGACTGAACCCAGGGGTGCTTAACCCCTGAGCCCCGTCCCCAGCCCTATTTTCTATTTTATTTAGAGACAGGGTCTCGCTGAGTTGCTCAGGGCCTGGCTAAGTGGCCGAGGCTGGCCTCCACCTTTCAATCCTCCTGCCTCAGCCTCCTGAGACGCTGGGATGACAGGCCTGTGTGTTCTCTTTTATGTGGAAGCCAGGAGCTTGCTTCAAGGCCTATGTGGATCCCCTGAGATCAGCTCTCTTAATAGACACCTGCAGAATACCCCACAGCAACCATAGATCAGTGTTTGAAGGAACCACCCGAGCCTGTCCCCCAAGGTGGCTCATCAAAAGACGGCCACCCTCCTGGCCTCTGTTTTTTTTTTTTTTTTTTTTCTGGCACAGACGGGAGTTGTCACTGGTGTTGGGCCCTCAGAGCAGGCCAAGCCCTCCCCGGGAGCTCCTGGGGTTTGCCCAGAGTGGCTTCCTCTTTTAAAAAGGATGTTTCCTGAACCAAGAAGCTCGCAGGAAATAGGAGACCGGCTGAGAATTCAGAGAACAACAGGAGGAAGAGCCAAAAATAAATCGCCGAGAGGGGACCGTGGGGGACAGTCCTCGGGGGTCCTCTGGGCTGCAGAGCATCCTCATTTTTTTTTTTTTTGGTCCCAGGGATGGAACCCAGGTCCACTTAACCCCTGAGCCCCGTCCCCAGCCCTTTTTCTATTTTATTTAGAGACAGGGTCTCGCTGATTTGCTTAGGGCCTCGATAAATGGCTGAGGCTGGCCTCCAACTTGCGATCCTCCTGCCTCAGCCTCCCGAGTGGCTGGGAGGACAGGCCTTCTTTCCATAGGAGCCACACGCTCCTGAAAACCGCTTCGTGCAGCTGAACGCAGCGGCGCACACCTGGGATTCCGGCCACTCGGGAGGCTGAGGCAGGAGGATTGCAAGTTAGAGGTCAGCCTCAGCCACTTGGCAAGACCTCGCCTCCCATCAATAAGTAAATAAGTGGAGCTG